TGCCTCTCCTTGTACGTGGGAAATTCAGGGCCCACAGAGGACAAAGCCTCTTTTATATATGCAGAAACTGCAAGAAAACAAAACCCAAACAAATACAGCCACCCTACAGATCCGTTTGGGGGTCTTAAACCAAGTCTGCAGCACACAACTTCATGTGTCTGAATTTTGGGTATTTGAGCCACTTCACACATATAAAGCAGGTCAGACAGCTCAGGGATCCCAGAGTAACAGCAGCACAGAGTAGACAAGTCTGTGACCACTGCAAACATCTGGGGAACCACTGTGCAACTTTGGGAGGCGACTCAGTGACTCTCACCAGCACTGCTCCCTTCCACACACGTGCACCAGGCTCAAAATGCATTGCTTTTCCCCTGTCACAGTATTTCCTATTTATTCCAAGCAGCAGGTCAGGACTCATTGCACCAGGACACCAACCAGACATTCCCATTTGCTTTCAGTAGACTGAAAACATTTACTTTCCCAAGCACAAACTGATGTGCTACTAAATCATTCTGCTTAGCCTAGACCTTAGAGGTGCACGTAAAAGCAAAAGAACTACAGATTAAGGCAACTCTCCAGTTCAAACAGCCACAGAACGGGGGTGTGTTTTCCTTGACCGTACAGCACAGGGATAACAGGCATTTTCTGATCCCAAACTACCCTTCCCAAAGTGCAGCAGCAGGAACTAAAGCTGTTTGGCAGCATCCAGCACGAGCCAGGAGCGCGGAGCTTCCGAGCACGTCACGGCTTTTGTTAACCCCCTCACACAGCTCAGCTGCTCCTGCAGAACCAACCCCGTGAGCTGTGGCAGGAGCAGAAGGCAGATGGGAGCTCATAAAATCTCTGTGACTTCAGAAACAACACGGGTCAGTCCCAGCCAGGGGTTTCCCTGCTGACACCTTTCCCTGCCCAGAACCTGCACATCCCTGCCCTACTCCACGTCCCAACAAAGCTCAAACCGCTCTCAGCCAAGGGATTTTTACCTCCTTAGAAAGAAAATGGGACCATAGATAGTTCTCTGCAAACTTGGCAGGCCATGTGGGAACTGATACAGCCAGGGTGGGCAAGCTGGAGCCAGGAGAACAGTTTTGGCTTCTAAACTAGAAGTCTGAGAAATTGGAAGTGGCGCTCCATTTGTTTAAATTACCTTCTGAAACCATGCTCCATATGTGGGAATAAACAGTCACTCTGGTAGCCCTAAACACTACCAGGAGTAAATTGTTCCAAGATGCACATCTGCACTTCCCAAAGATCAGACAGAGGGGCTGCCAAGGCAGGGCTTCATTTCCCTTAGAGGACTTTTTTTGTTGTTTTCAGAGCTCTTAATTGAAAATGGCAGCCCAGAAAGGTGCTATGCATGGAACAGACCATCATCACCCCTGTCTCATCAAATAAAGGTCTCAGTCTGTCCTGCTGCCTTGGAATCACAGAATTGTTTAGGTTGGAAAAGCCCCTAAGATCAGTCCAGTGACACTGCCAAGGCCACCACTAAACCATGTTCCCAAGTGCCACATCTACACAGCTTTTAAGACCCTCCAGGGATGGTGACTCCACCACTGCCCTGGACAGTCTGTTCCAGTGCTGGACCACTCTTTCTATGAAAAATCTAATATCCAATCTAAACCTCCCCTGGCTCAACTTGAAGCCGTTTCCTCTTGTCCTGTCAGTTGTTCCCTGGGAGCAGAGCCTGACCCCCACCTGGCTCCACCCTCCTGTCAGGGAGTTGGAGAGAGTGAGAAGGTCCTCCCCGAGCCCCTTTTACTCCAGGCTGAGCCCCCCAGCATCTTCAGCCACTTCTCATCAGACTTGTGCTCTTGACCCTTCTTTGGACTTGCTCCAACATCTCAGTGCCACTTGGAAAGCAGTTTTCCGTATTCCTGCACATCCACAAAACACAACAAAATTGCAAGTACAGATGCAAGCTTTGAAGTGATCCTTTCTTATCATAAGGATGGCTGGAGTCCCATCTTGAGGGCAGGATCTCCATTCTGGAGGGAGCTGCTCCATCCTTACGGACACGAAGCCAGCGCGGGGCAGGTTTTTTACCCACAGTTTTTTACGTGGCCCCTGAGCTCCAGCACTTGAGAGCCCTCAGCCCTGGGCTGTACAGTCAGAGGGGACTTCAGCCAGGAGCTCATACTGTACGGCTATCGGATGACATGCCAGTAAAACAAGCTGCCTGCCTTCTAAACCTGGAGTATCACAAGACCACTACATAAATGTCAGGCCTGGGAGCTCACCAGTGATCACAGCACAGCACACACAGAGCCCTGGGCAGCACTGCCCCACTCCCCTGCTCAGCAGCCAAGATACAGGATATGCCCCAAGACCTGCAGTAATTAAGCACAGAACTTCTGTAACAGGCCTTAGTTTTGCAGTTCTGCTTATCTGGGGACGTGCACATGGGTCAGGGCACGTCCAGAATGCATTGTTGCCACTGGAGTACCCGAGCTAGGGAGTTATTTAACAAGTAATTCACCAGCTTTGGGCAAAAGGTTGATTGCAGCTGTACAAGAAAGCATGGAAAAGTGCAGCAATCCAAACACTACCTTATTCACACTTGGTATGGACATTCACCAAAACTTTTCCTTGCTTTTGTGTCTGGAGAAGGGAATGGAGCTGGGGAAGGGTCTGGAAAATGAGTCCCATGAGGAGCAGCTGAGGGAGCTGAGGGGGCTCAGCCTGGAGAAAAGGAGGCTCAGGGGGGACCTTCTGGCTCTGCAACTCCGACAGGAGGGAGGAGCTGGGTGGGGTTCAGGCTCTGTTCCCAGGGAACAAGGGACAGGAGGAGAGGGAACAGCCTCCAGCTGTGCCAGGGGAGGCTCAGGCTGGAGATCAGGAGGAATTTCTCCATGGAAGGGGTGGTCAGGCACTGGAAGGGGCTGCCCAGGGAGGTGGTGGAGTCCCCACCCCTGGAGGTGTCCAAGGAAGGACTGGACGTGGCACTCAGTGCTCAGGGCTGAGGGACAAGGTGGGGATGGGGCACAGGTTGGACTCAGTGAACTTGGAGGGTTTTTCCAACCTCAAGGATTCTGGGAAATATTGACTGCTTGGCCTCAGGGAGCTGATTTACACCTTAACTGCACTCTTCACCTCTTCAGCATTTTTAACCATCCAAGACTCCTGCAACAGCTGGAATGCCAGAGAAAATGGTGATGGTTAAAGGAAAAAAAATAGACCTTTGGGCTGCACAGAGGCTCCCAAGCACCAACCCTGGCTGCAGAGCCATCCATAGGAGCTGTGCAGCTCTGCTGAGTGCACACTGAACCAATTACACAGGAGCCTCCCAAGACCCACACAACCTCGGGAGCTATCACATTATAGATCCTTATGTAAGGCACAGTGACGTAAATCCAGGCTCCCTTGACACACAGAGGGTGCGAGATGAGCGAGCCTGCAGGAATTTCAGATCACATTTCCCACCTCCCCTATTCATTCATTTGTATCATTTGCCATGACCTTGCTCTCCAGGGACATATATTACCAGAAGGAGATAAATGAGATTTTTATTAATTTGAACTACAGCAGCAAGAAACTAAGGGCATTGTCTCACAAGGCTGATTAGTATTTTTTCTCTCTTTAAATGCAGTTGAAAAAAATGTTTATTTACCCACTGCAGGACTGGTCACACTAACAATCATCACCACTCTCAGTGGTGCTGAGGAGAAGAAAGAGTCGAGCAGAGCCAGAGATCTGTGTGGTGCAAGAGAACTCTGTCTCTGCAGAACCAAGCTGTGTCATGTTAGCTTGACTTTCTATGATTCAGGTACAAAATGAAAATGAGTTTCTATTCTAGCACATACCAAAAATTCCTTAAATGTAACAGCTGCCTCAGGGAAAACAAGAACTTTTCCCTGGTAATGGAATGTGGTAGAGTCTCAGAGAATAAATAACAGTGACATCTGAGATAACTATAATGGGCCGGGGTCATTACATGCACCTTGTAAAGAACCCACGAGCCTGCTGGGGAGCAAGTCACTGCCATCAGCAAAGACCTACAAAAAGGGGTTTCCTACAAGCTACAGCTTCAATGCATCACATTCCTCTGCTCATTCCCAGACATAACCAACAGGCTTGGAGGTCAGACTATAAAACCTGCTATGAAGTCATTAGCTGCACCCTCATAGACACAGCCTGTGTATCCTGGGGAGCTGCAAACGACAGGCCCATCATTCCAGCAGGATTAACAACTTGGAAAGGCTTAAAACTTCAATAAAAACAAAAATCACATTAAGAGGAGTTAAAGTTTAAATAATGGTTTCACACCCCAACAGAGGCAAGTCCAGCTGCAGGGCCAGCTCGCAGGGGTGACGGAGCCAAACCGTGCTCAGTGTCACCAGAGGAGCAGGACATGGGCACACACAGCACCCCTCGGCTGGGCAGGGCACAGCTACCCACGGGCACAGAGCATTGCAGCACTGCCAAGCTGAAATCATTCCCAGCTTACTGTTCAGGAACAACTAGTCCAGGGAGCACAGCTCACCAGTGCACAGATAAACACAACTGGAAAGCAGCCCAGAAGCGAGAGCGATGCTCCAGGAGGAGGAAGACGTGGCTGCTAATGAGCAAGACAGGCAAGCGGCTCTGAGATAAGGTGCACACTGAGGGCAGTTTCACAACAACCAAGAAAAAACAACCCTACATCAGCAAGTCTGGAGGAACAGCCTGGAATTATCTCCCGGCAAACCTTCTGGGATACACTCATCTCCACAATCACACCACAGCCACACAGGCTCTGACTCTGGCAGCCCTGAGACCGAGGTGTGCTGCTCGTACAGAACGTGCCTCATTTCTGGGCAGCAGTTTTGCAAGATGCAGCTCTCCGAGGAGCAGCTCTCGAGGGATGGATCCAGGAACTACGCTGCAGCAATGGCACTCCACAAATTGGCACAAGCAGCTACAGAGCCTCAAGCACAGTCCCACAGCTAAATGCAAAACCAGCCCATGTGCTCAGCACAGCCCGTGGAAACCCAAACAGAGCTGCAGAAGTCAAATGAACAGCAGCACAGCACCTCGGCAGGTGAGGATCAAACTGCTTCCACTCGGAGCAGAACCCGTGCTCTCCCCTCCTTCCCCCTCACGCTCATCCCGTGTCCTGCTCTCCGAGGGGAAGCTGGCGAGCTGAGGGTAAACAGCTCTGCTCGGTCCCTCTGGGGAAAAAGAAAGAAAAAAGCTTTCCAACGTCACTGAAATGGAATGTGAGGGAACCAAGTGCACTTGTAGGGGGAGAAAAAGGACAGCCTCACACTCCAGTGTGTCTGTACACAGCACTTGGTGCGGAAGACACACACGGAGCATCCAACAGTGCATCTGCTAAAGATCCCTTTAGCTCTGAGGGTCTGAAGAGATATTTTGGTTCGTAGAAAAGTTATGTTAATCCAATGAATCATTTGATAGGAATGTACAGTCATCCCAGTGCAATGGAAAATGTAGAGATTCAAATGCTTGATGTACGCATCCAGCATAAAAGGTTAGGGGAACACTTCTTCCAAAGGCATTACTCATGCCTGCCTCGGCTGCACATCCCTGCAGAGGTGTGCAGGAAGGAGGATGAGCAGCATCAATAACTTATCAGCTGCGGAACAAAACCACCAGGTAAGAGCCATAAAAAGGAGAAAGCAAGACCTAAACCACCCCAAATGTAGTCTTTGTGGAGCAGGGCACAGATTTCCTTCAGGTTGTCACTGCATCTCAGAGTGGGTGGCCTAGGGCAGCTCTACCCCACTCTTACTGCATCCCAAGACATTCATGAATGGTGGGACTTGTCCTTTTGCAAGCATTAGGAGAAACTCCCTGTCTCAAAGAGCTGACAGAGGGTTTGCTGAAGTGCTGTAGCTATTTACCTAAGGAGAAAGAAGAAAAGAGTGCAAGTCTTGGTTGGAAACAGCAGGCATTCTGCATTGCACACATGCTCTCCTGGGCTCCTAAAGCTACACTCAAGAAGGGCAGCCATCCAGTCACAGATCAGAGTTTTTTTGCAGAGGCTGTTTAAGGAAATTAATTTACAGCGATGAGGCTCCACAGCAACCCCATATACAGCCCATTCTTTACGAGGGAAGGGTTTATTTACAATGCCATGACGTTTTCTGATGTAAAAAGTAACAGCACGCAAGCAGATGATTCCCTCACGCTTCCTGAGCTCTCTGCACCGCCGTTCTGCAGGAAGTCTGGAGGACAGGCAGTGGATTTACCCCGACAGGAGGTAAGCTGGAATCTCTCCCATGCCACACACCCTCCTCAAACCCCTCCTCAACTGCACTCAGCTCTGTTGAGAAGTAACGCAAGGAGAAGAGCATATGGATAGATCCAAAGCTATTCTGAATCACTGCTGGCTGCCAGCAGACATATTGCTGTCATTAGCCTCTAGCTCAGTCGCAAGATTTGTTTCTGAAAAGTCTTTGAGCCAACAGATTATATAAAGCTCAGACCCTTCCTCTTCCACATGAGCTGATAGTCTCCTTGCTGGGTGGCTGGTGTTTGTGAGGAAAACATTCATCCCTGCACAGACAAGGATGATGCAGCTAATCAAAACAACTTCCCTGGCCAACAGTCGGTGGTGGTGCAGACAAAGCTGGCGCTGCCACATAGTGCCCGATCACAGGATCATGGAATAGAATCATAGACTGGTTTGGGCTGGAATGGACCTTAAAGATCACCCAGTTCCACCCCTGTGCCATGGGCAGGGACACTTTCCAGCAGACCAGGTTGCTCCAAGCCCCAACCTTCCCACCAGGTCGCCCCATTCCCTGCCTCAGCCCCCTCCCCACCGCGCTGGCTGACCCGGCCGCCCCACGGAACGGGCTCATTAAGTCACGAGCACTTGTAAATAACTGCAGGTTACTGCCGAGGGTTCTCTGTATCTTTTATCTAAACAAAATGCTACAGGACCAGGCTTGTTTTATGCAACAACGCCCTTGTAGTTTCTACTTCTGATAGCAAGTGAGCAGTTACTTCTGTACACCTCACCTGGCTTACCTTTTTCACCTTTTACAAACCAAGGCTGAAAAACATTAGAATATATCCTGTCTTCTGAGCTGTTAAGCAAAGAAACCCTTTTTGGTTTCTTTATTAATACATAACAGGACTGTCCCCCCAGATTCTGATAAACCCCTTGTGGTTTAAGCTTACTGGAAACCAGGCTTCCTACCTTGCTACTTTCATATTACTCTCTCTCATTAAGCAATTTAGATACCCGAGTAGTAAATCAGAAGTGAAAGGACTTAATCACAAGATCTAAACAACACTGGTTCTTTGTCAGCTCAGTAACTCCTGATAACTACCTCATCTTCTGGTCAAAGCTGTCTCACACACTGCATTATCTTTACACCTTTGGGTGTCTGAAGAAGGTCAAACAAACATGCTGTAGTTTCCTCGTAGAACACTGGTAGTACTCCTGTGGTTGGTTAATACTTGCAGTGGGCACGAGACGTATTAATTCCCTAAGCTCTGGTAACTCAGCTGTAAATAACCAAGGTCCCTGCCCTAAAAACAGTCTAAAAGAGACAAGGCAAGTGCAGAAGCCCCAGTGGTGGTGAAGCACAGTCAGCCAACCCAGTACACCACCATTTACTCCTCAAAAACTCAGTGCAGCTCGAGATGTGCTTCATCCAGCAATTCTCAACACAAAATACATAAACAGTCCCTGGAGCACAGATGGAAGCTGATCCCTATCCCCTCCCAGGGGAGTTCCCTCATCACCAGGCTACAAAATCATGTTCCCTCTTGCTTTCAGCCTTTGATGATACAAATCTTACGTTCCTTCCTACACAGTGCCCCGGTTTCAACATGAGAGGCAGAGCCTCTCCTCCCTCCGCAGCCGGCAGCTCGGGGATTCGGGCACTCTCAGAGCTGCAGCCGGGGCTGCCCCAAGGCTCGAGGAGATGCCTCATCTGGTACTGCAGCCAGTGCCATTTCCCACCTCCCTTTCACTCACCTACTGGGTCTGGTGCTCATCTGCCACTGATGACCTGGGGTGCAGCTGATGAACCCCACAGAGGCACTCACCTTCCCTGCCTGTGGATTTGCTCTTCCCATGAGAGCAGGGTGCTGAAGGGAAGGGTCAAGCTCTTGAAGAGCAGAAGTCATTCTGCTTTTCTCCTCACAGCAAACCACAGCTGTACATCAGTGTTTTGCCATAGTTTGCTTTTGAGGACTCCCACTCCGACTGCTAGTGACTCTCCTGCAGGGCTGGTGCTCACACAGCATGTCGTGCAGTTGCCCAGCCAGGCCCCAAGGTGTGCTCAAGGGGACAGATGTGCTGTCCACAGCCAGCTGGAAAGGCCCCAGAGCCAAGCTGGGGGTCCTCGGGAAGGCAGAGGATGAGCTACCAAAGAGCAGAGGACAACTGTGCCCACGAAATTAAAAACACCTCTCCTGACCCTCCCTCGCCCTGCTGCACAGCTCAGTCCACTGTCCCACCAGGGAATCCCCACTCCAGGTATGGGTGCAGTGCACGCAGCTCAGCTGCTTCAGGTCACAGAAGCAGTGAATCTTGTAGCTTGTATTATACTTTAAAAAAATCCAATTGAAATTCAAGCTCTATCACAGCCTTGTACTGCAGCTTCCCAGAGTCCTCCAGCCGTTTGTTCTCTCCAGGGAAGACAGATAGGTTGCCAACCAAGAACTGCACTGTGGGATTAGCCAATGTTTATGAAGTGCTTTAAAGATTAGAAGTGTCACCTATGTGCTAAATATTTCCCTGGCACTATCAGCTTGAACAGCAACCGAGTATCTTGTATCTACTCCTGCTGATCTTGAGCTGGTTGCCGAAGGCGTCACTCAACCTGACTTCCAACCACCGTGTTTGGCACTAATTCCAGGGGCGGTTTTAGACATATCGCAGGAGAGGACAGACTCAGGGAACCACTTAAACCCTAACTTCTGAAAACTACTAGCAGAGTAATGACAGTAATATCACCAGGAGAGGCTTAGGGATTTATGTTTTTACAACATTGTCATACGTGTGCGTGAGATGGAACACCCTGGAGCGAAGCCCAACCGCTGCCGCTCACCCCGATGGAACTGGCTGGGCAGTGCCATGAAAAGGTACTTTGTACACATCAGCGAGAATGGATCCCAATCCCTTCATTCCCCAAAAAGCTTTTTGCAGCAGGATTAAGAACCTGAGCAGTGAGTCCCAGCACACAGGAGAGCAGCACAGCACTGCTCATGCTGTCCGTGCCACACAAACACAGACCAAACAGCAAGGATACACATATTTTCCTTCCTTTTTTTCCTCTTGTTCCCATATCACTTAAATTTCTCTTCCAGCTAAAACACAGAGCCTGTGTCAAGACCTTCCCACTACCACCACTATCACAGAGCCAAGGTGTAACGTTCAGCTGGAGATCTGTTTCCTGTTCACACACCTTTTGTCACCCGTATTCCACCCATCCTCAGAGGTCTTACACTGCATATAGGTCTAGAAACATCCAAAATACAGAACTCAGCCTTCCCGTCAGCCTGTGGGTTTCACCAACAGCAGCAGAATCCAACAACTATTATCAAGCAGTCAGAAAATGAAACATTCAGTTTCTAGAGTTTACTCTGCACTGGAGAGAGAAAAACAAAGCTGGAAATCCCTCGCTTTATAAACAACAGCTCCTCTGAAAGCACTGTCAATAGGAAGTTGTTGCTCTAAACTGTGTACACATTTGGCTCACAGTTTGCCAACAATGAGGAAAATGAACTCCACGGAAGGATTCCCACATGGCGAGCCCGGCGTTGCCACCCTCAATGGATGCTGCCGGGGCCAGAGCAGCAGGACCACGCCAGCAGGAGTTGATTTGCACCTTTGTGCTGGAACAGGGCACAATTCCCTTCCCAGCCTCACCAGCTCTATAACTCTTCCACCAGCCACAAAACCACCCAGACAGACCCAACGAGGCACGTCAGCCCCGTGCTTGGGCTGCACCTGTCCTGGTGCTGTGTCTGCCCTGCGCCTGCCGAGCTGACCGCGCCGACAGCCAGAGACACAACCGCAGGACACCCAAGGACAGAGGGGCCATCACAAAGAGAAACGTTATCCAAAGCCAAAACAGTGTCACCAGAACAGTGTCACAACACTCTCTGCCCAGCAGCGGGGCCAGAGGCTGGGCAGCTTCTTAACACTTAACACAAACAGCCAGAGAACCAAAAGCAGTGCTCCTCAGGCAGGAGTGCGTCTGGGAGAGGAATCTCCCCAAAAGCTGACAGGGTAGGAGCGTGGCAGGAGGCAGGCCACAGCTGAGGTGACAGTGCTTTTCCCACGCAGGTGTAATGGTTTCCCATGGGAAAGGAAGGCTGGAGCCCCAGCCAGGCCCCTGCTGGAGGTGCCCTGCTCGGGATAACCCCAGCCAGGTGTAGTGCACGTGGGTCGGACCGTGCGCAGGTCGCTGTGGCTGACAGCTGCCTCTGACTGGAGGTGACTCACTCAAGTCACACATCACAAACAACTCTTACTCCAGCCCTGAAATAGGAGGACTCTGAAATCTCAAACCACCCTCCCGTGACACTGTCACTCTTGCAGAGCCACTTGCAGCCTCTCCTGTGCAAAGCCTGCTGAAAACAAAGGATCAAAACAAACAGAAGACTGGAACTGCCTTCAATATCTTAAAACACAATTAAGATAAGGAAAAGGAGCCTGGCAAAAAATAAAAAGCTATCTTAATCACCATTTTAATTGAGAGTGGATATTCCTATTCTAACCAACCACTGGAGCATCCATCCTAGCACTGAATCACACCACTAAACTCAGATGCACAGCTGAGGTTTCCACCTGCAAGGAGGAGGAGGCATCAGTGGAGACACTGCAGAGCAGCCTTTGTTCTGGGACCCAGCGAGGAAAACATCTGCTCAGCCCAAACCACTGCTCCCTCCAACTCGATAGGATCTGACCTCGGAGGACAGGAAGCAAGCTTTGTTCCGGGCAGCAGGGAGGGCGGTGCTACCACACCGACTACTGTGCACGGTTTGGGACTCTGGAGACCTGCAGGTGGTAAAACAAGAAGCGTTTTGCTGTTCACCTCAGACACGTAACTGCTTCGGAGCAGCCGGGGTGCCTCTGCAGAGCTGCTCTTGTTTGGACAAGCACGTTTGCTCTGGTGACTATTTGAATGATGACTCACTCCAACAAGCCAGGGCACCCTACCACACACAGCCCCGAAGTGCTGACTTAGGGCTTGGGATGCAAATCCGGCAGGAAGCAGTGCTTCCCGACCAGGGCCACCCAGGCCTGGTCACTGCTGCCATTTCCCTCCTCCAGTTCAGTTGTGGCCTCGAGGACGAATCCAAAGAGAAGACAGCAGGAATAAGAAAATTGTATAAAATATTCTTGCTCTCAGAGCACTTCTAAAGTTGCTTTTTTTCCCCCCTTTTAGTATTTGTTTTCTGTAAAGCTGACAGCCCGGTTGCAAGTTCTTTGTGTGCCTCCGAGGGGCTCATGGCAGGCGGGTGCAGGACACCTGCCCAGCACCCCTTCCCTGGCTCAGGAATGCTGCCCAGCACCCTGTCCCTGGCTCAGAGGCAGACCTGTGGCCACCCTGCTGGTGGCACTCCTCCAGCCACTTCCACTTTTGTCTCCCCAAGCATGTGAGAGTCACAACCCGTGACGAGCCCGGCAGTAATTGCCGTATCGATTTCGACGCTCCTCCGGCCAGAGCAACGCCTGTAACTGTAAACCATAAACCTTTTAATATCCTGCTCAATTATGGGGAAAACAACTCCTGAGTGGCAGCACCGTGGGAGCATTGCTCAGAGCCCGCTGCTGTGTGTTCCACCGTGGCCTGGGGCCTGCCTGGGGATGGCCAAACCACGTGTGTTGAGAGACACTGTCGGGGGGACAGAAGCAGAGATGGCTCTTCCATGTGTCACCGATGCCACTGCTGCTCAACCCTGTCCTGGTGACCTCATCGAAGGGCTCAAAATGCTGGAACACATGGAACGAGAAGATGGATGAGCAGACTTGTGGTGTGCCATCAGAACGTGATCTGGTGCTCATGCAACCCGTGGGCTGTTCACAAATCCCAGAGAAAGAGTCCAAGAATTAAGCAATTATGCTGGGCACTGTCACATACAACCTCTCTGTTATTTACAATCAGTTTCAGGGAAAGGGAAACAATCTGAATGACTGTTTGGCATTTATAAAACATTCCCATCCACTGTGGCCTTCCCAAAGCATAAAATCATGGAATGAAACACTATCCTGAGCTGCAAGGGACCCACAAGGATCATCAAAGTCCAACTCCTGGCCCTGCACAGGACAGCCCTAAGAATCCCACCATGTGCCTGGGGGTGTTGTCCAAACACCCCTTGAGCTCTGGCAGCCTTGGGGTAGTGACCACGTCCCAAGTCAGATGCTCTGCTGACACAAGCATGAGATGGGCAGAACCCACTTCTAATTCCCAACCCCAAGTCCTGAAGTTCATTGTCACCTTACCAGCCCTTTACATCACGTTCTCTTGCCCAGGAAAAGGGCAGGTTTGGAGACACTCAGCCTGGAGAAGGCTCCCACCTTGCTCCACACAGACCTGACCTGCTTTTGTCTCGCTGTGCTGCGAGCAGGGCTTTGTTGCCATGGTGAAAGCTCTGACACGTTTAGTTTTCCCACTAATTTCCTGCTGCACTAAAGCAACTGATGCTTTGCACCTTGTTGCTATCAGAGAGCAACAAGGAACCCAAACACCCCCACAAACTGTTTGGCCACGTGCTGGTTAGTCTGCCCACAGCACTTTCAAGGCAACTTTAGTTACACCTCTTATATAAAACCTCATCTAGATCAGGATTAGGTGCTCCCTTCATGTTGTCTCAGGACATGCAAAATTTGACACGTCTCTGAAGAGTTTATCTTGCATCCTAAACCCATCTGCCTTTTAAGTTAAGCCCTACAAGTGATTTGATCATCATTCAGAAAGGAACTCAACAATTTAGTGACCCTCATAATTAGGGGCTGCATCCCACCCTTACCTTTAAAAAAAGGTGGTATGGTTTCAAATCCCAGACTGCAGTCCCTGAACCACTACATTTTCCTTTGAGCTCACATGAAGGAACTAACTTCATACCTGACTGTGTCAATGGTGAGTGAAAACAAGGATCCAGTTGTGTCTGTGGAACCAAACTGGGACCAGCAGCACACACACACACACACACACACGAGGCAAACCAGAGACTAAGGCCCACACTGTCAGCAAATGACTCAGAAACTGCACAAGCTCCCACTGAGTGGGAAAATACCTATAGTCAGCCTTCAGCTTGTCATTTTACCATGTAATGGGAGTCTCAACTTGGATGAAAAAACACATGAATATTTTGTTCTGACTAAGCACAGGTTTCCCCGTGCACCTCAGCTCTGCCAGGGCAGTGGGCACACGACACCCACACTGCAGCAAGTGGGGAGGGAGCGACTGTGATTTCCTTCTCCACCAGCTCTGCACTTTGTTTCTAACACAAACCAGCTGAATTAACCAACAGAAAGGAAAAATCTTTGTTTTGGTTTGGTTTTTTTTTTATCTTACACTTCCCAGAGCAGCTCAGGGGAAAAACCACCTCTGTGGAAGCCAAGTATTAGAATCCTTATACAGAGAATGAATCAGGATGATTTTTATTGGTTTCCAATGAGATTGTGCTTGAAAACAAACAGTTGCTGTACGACTGACAACCCCCTCACTGTGTCAGAGTGCCGGAGATGCGAGAACATAGATGGGCTTTGTACAGCTGAGAACATGCTCCTTCGTGGCTGCTGGGGACGATGCAGTTTGGCTAATGGGACATTTACATGTGCAAAAAAATAGACTACAAGCTAAACTGTATCGTAATCAGTTTGGTGGGGGGAGCAGGGGGAGCCCTACGACCTCCAAAACCGCTGAAAGCAGCTACAGCTGTTCCAGCCTCAGGGTGAAGAAGACACAACTGCAACAGGAGCTTCCCGCAGAAGAGCACCATTGTCTGCTGCCACCTGGGAATGAGAAAACCTGCCATAAATCGCACAGCACATGACCCTTTCCCTGTCTGAGGCCAGGACAATTCCCGGCAGCAGCGAGCAGGCAGCACAGGCTGCCCGGAGCCTGCCCGTCAGCGGCACTCCAGCCAGGCTGATAACCTTGACAGAGCCACTTGCAAGATTACAGCCCAAGGATTTCCTACAAGCACATCTAGAGAGGAAAGACTAAGTACCAAGACTAATGCTTTTCATCTTCAGTTGCTGCCAGTGCTATGAGCTCAAACTCAAATTTGGGGCGCGCAGAGACGCGGTCACGCTGCCACAGCCACTGAAAGCAAATGCTTTCCTCTAGCACTGATTGTTTCAGCTGAAGGGAAGCACAGACAAACACCTTT